ATCCCTTCAGGACCAGTGGTGAGAGTGGCGATACTGGGAGGGTAGAGGGAAGGTGGGCTAGAAAGGGGGAACCGATTGCAAGGATCTACATATAACCTCCTCCCTGGGGGACGGACAATAGAAAAGTGGGTGAAGGGAGATGTTGGACAGTGTAAGATGCAATGAAATAATAATTTATAAATTATCAAGGGTTCATGAGGGAAGGGGGATCGGGGAGGGAGGGGGAAAATGAGGAGCTGATGCCAGTGGAAAGCAAATGTTTTGAGAATGATGAGGGCAATGAATGTACAAATATGCTTTACACAGTTGATGTATATGTGGATTGTGATAAGAGTTGTATGAGCCCCTAATAATATAATAAAATGAGTTAAAAAACTAAAGAAAGGAACAGGAAAAAAAAAGAAAGGAGGCAGAAATGGAAAGAGTAGGAGCAGGAGAGGAGGATCAGGAGAAGGATGAGACGCCAGAAAGGAGAGGGATGGAAAGGAGTTAAGGATATGGGGAAGGAAGAGCTGAGGAGTGGAAGGGTGGAGTGGGGAAGGATAGGGAGAGTGAACATGGGGATGGGTATAAAGGGGAGGCATGGTAGAGATGGAGGGAGGAAGGCTGGGGGGAGAGAGAAGTGCCACAAATACCTCATGTAGGGATTGGGGTATGTGACGAGGGTACTGATTCCTGGTACCGTCCACCAAAGAACTCAGACCCTGAGAGAACCAGAGCTTTCACCCTGGACAACAGACCCAAACACTCCAGAGAACGCACACTGGGCAAAGACACCGGAACAGGTCAAGTACTTCTTAGGCGACACAAGCGGTTCTCCATGATTTTGTCCTCAGTGGCTGACAGTATCTGGGGATACTTTGGGCTGTGAGAACAGGAGGGAGTAAGCTACTGATATCCAGTTGGTAGAGGCCATGAATACTGCTTGTCAGTGTCCTGGGGCCACCAGACATGAAGGGCACACCTGTAGCTTAACAAGTTGGACTCTCGCCTCATATTGGTGAAGGAGAATGCACACCATGGGGAAGTTCACCTTGGCTTTGGAGGGGGGTGGTTTAAGGAAGCAGAGGCTCAAGATTGGGTGGGCAGAAAGTGGGGATGATTCTATCTATAGGGAGGGGGCAGACTCAAGTGAGACTAAAGCTTAATCGGTAAAGAAGTAGCAGTCATTCGTATGTTTTATGGGTGGCATGGTGATCTCGGTTTTAACTCAAATGATTCACTACCATCAAGTTCATCCCGGCTCATAGCAAGCCTCTAGGCTGAGTAGAACTGCTCCTGTGGGTTTCTTTCTGAGGCTGTAAATGCTTACAGGAGCAAAAAGTCTCATCTCCCTCTCTTGGAGTGGCTGGTGGTTTTGAACTGCCAACCTTGAAGTTCGAAGCTCAATGAGTAAACCACTACACCACCTAGACTCCTTTGTCTGCACCTAGAGAACATTATAGAGCAGCCTTACTTTATCTCATCGTATCATGGTCTCTGAGTAACCTTGTCTGAAGGTGGTATTAAAAAAAAGCCCACATGATTGCCATTGAGTCAATGTACACTCAGTGACTCTATAGACCTGCCCTGCCCCAGTGAGTTTCTGAGACTGAAACTTTTTGCGGGAGTAGAAAGCCCTGTCTTTCTCCCTTGAAGCAGGCTGGTGGTTTTGAACTGCTGACCTTGCAGCTCGCAGCCCAACATGTAACCACTACACCACCAGAGCTGGTAGCATATAGCGTGATTAATAGAGAAAAGCATGGTCTAGCAGTGAGTGCCCAGGTAGAACCATCGTTTCCATGAAAAACCAAGAACCAAACCAGTTGTCAACAAGCTGTCTCCGACTCAGGGTGACTCCAGGTGTGCTGAGGGTTCAAGGTGCTCCACAGGGTCCTCGAGGCTGTGGCTTCTGGAAGCAAATCACCATGCCTTTCTTCTGAGGCACCTCAAAGTAGGTGGGAAGCACCAAGCTTTTGGTTAGCAGCGGAACACGTAACCATTTGTGCCAGCCAGGGACTCCTATAAACTCCAAAAAACAAAACAAGGGAAAGTAAAGCAAAGCCCCAAACAAAACAAAACAGAAGAAATTAAAAGCCTATTGCCATCAAGCCACTTCTGACCCCAAGCATGCATCACAGAGTCTGCACACTGCTCCATAGGGGTTTCTGGGAACACGTTCTGGTGGGGCTGTGGGTTACGGGGATTGACAGCTTTGGAAACCCACGGGAGCAGTTCTCCTCTGTCCTATAAGCTTGCGATGAGGCAGCATGACTCCATGGCAGGGAGGAGACTCCTCATAGAGGGTTTTCTTCTGTGGAGCCACTGGGTGGCATCAAACTCCAAGCTTGGGGTGAGTCGTGGAACACAAGTTGCTTGGTGAAGCGATTGTGCATTGGTCTGCGGTCCAGTCAGCAGTTCGAAACTACCAGGCAGCTCCACTGGAGAAAGACGGGGCTTTCTACTCCAGTAGAGTTACAGTCTTGGCATCTCACAGGGGCAGCTCTACCCTGTGTGGTAGGGTGGCCATAAGTCAGAACTGACTTGATGGCAGTTGAGCTTGGATAATTTCTAACAGAGACCGATAAATACTAGTTGAGAGAAGTCACAACTTGGGACACAGACCCTAAAAGTACTCAGAGACCTCCCACTCTGGACACAGATGTCCAAACAGAGAAGATAAACTCTGAAGAGCGAGCCCCCCCACCACCACCAAGGACCACCAATGAATGACCTACCATTTAGAATGCGTCACATCATGGGAAACAACCCCCACACCCTACCCCAAGGGCTCAGATATTTCACACCCTGGACATGGACATCAAACACCAGAGAGTCCTTATCCCCTTGGATACAGACCACAAAACAATTCAGAAACCTCACATATGTGTATCAATTACAAAGGGAGTGATAGTAACTCTACAAAAGAGTTAACCAGACACCACCTTAACCAAGCAATCATGGGAACATAAACAGCACTGAGATACTTCAACATCATCATGTCCCCTGTGCTGCGACCCCCTGGGAGGGTTGAACGGCACATCACTTCAGTACATGTGCCCAACCTAATCTATTCTCCTTCACTGCCATTGAGTCCCTGCTGATTCATGGCCAGCCCCTGTGGGTTTCCGAAACTCTGTGTATGGGAATAGAAAGCACAGTCTTTCTCCCGCCAAGCTGCTGGTGGTTTCAAACTGCCAACCATGTGGATCGCAGCCCAATGTGTAACCACTACACCAGGGCTCCATAAGAGAACATCAAAAGGATGTGAGGAACACCCCGCCAAGTAATAATAAATGGAACATCAGTGCTCTTCTGTGGTGAAGTGAAATTTCTTTTAACATGGCTCTTCTATCCATGTCTTGCTTGGTTTAGTGGAAGGGGAGCCCCAAAGAGGAAGGCCTTCGATGAGATGGGTTGACACAGTGGCCGCAACAATGGGCTCTGGCATAAGAGCAGTTGTGAGGATGAGGGAGGACCGTGCAGTGTTTCGTTCTGTTGTGCAGAATAGAAGGTCCCTATAGGTCAGCACGGGCTCAATGGCACATCCATGTCTTGTAACTTCCACCAAACACCTGAGTGAGACTCTGCAAACAGGGCAGGTGAAGCAGTAATAGATTAGGAGTTTGGTCAATTCAGTAGCCATTCCCCTGGCTGGAAGACAGTTAGCTCTGAATCAGGAACAGAAAGAATTCCCAGGACCATCCAGCAGAGCCACCAACGGAACACATTTGAAATCTCTACGTGGAATGGTAGAGGCCAAGACCAGAGGCAGCAGAGGTCAGGGTTTGGAGATCAGGGGATAGAGCAAAGGAGCCACACCAAGACAGAGTCGAGAGGCTGTGCCTAAGACTTCAGACCCAGACAGTGAGGCAGAGCAACTGATGGGCTTCCTGAGCCACAGAGGCTAAAACCAAGGGACCATGTGGCTGAGAGGCTGAGGACCAGAGACAGACAGCTGCTGGCTGAGGAGAGGCGCTACTGTGGACCACTTTTTCCTTATCCTGACTTGTGATAACCTATCAACGTCTCTAATAGACCCCCGTAAGTGTGAATTTTGTCTGTGAGTTCTATGTGGCTGTTGCAACGAATTATTGTGGGAAGAATGGTTAGTGTCAGAATAGGGTAAAGGATGGAGGGCCCATATCTGACCCCTGCCCTGTGGCAGTCGGCCTTTGGTTGGGGAGGAGTTTGATTCTCCTCCCCAGCGAAGCCAGAGGAGAGATGAGATGTGGCCTCCACACCATTTCCACCTCTTCCCAAGTGTCATGGGCATGCAAGACAAAGAGCCATCGCAAATTGGAGGAGAGACATGACCCTTAAAGGGAATATGGAACCTTACAGCTGACCCTGAAACAGGGAAGGAAAAAACAACTCAGGGGTGGGAGAAAATGGTGAGATTTGAATAGTCTGTAGTGTAGATAAGAATATTGTGACTTGGGGAGATGTCGGACAGGGCAAGATATGACAAAATAACAACTTATAAACTATCAAGGGCTCATGAGGGAGGGGGGAGCAAGGAGGGAGGGGAAAAAATGAGGACCTAATGTCGGGGGATTAAGTGGAGGGAAAATGTTTTGAGAATGAAGTACAAATGCGCTTTACACAATTGATGTGTGTATGGATTGTGATGAGAGTTGTATGAGCCCCTAATAAAATGATTTAAAAAAAAAAGAATATTGTGACTTGTTCATGACCAACAGAGGCTTGGTTTTGAAGATTGTACTATGGTTAGGCTAAGCCTTCCTAGCAGTTAGAGAAGTACTAATGCAATAAAAAGAAAATTCAACTTCAAGGGGACAAAAACAAACCTAACATAGTGACCCTTGCCCACCTCAAAAATACACCCTTCTATTGCCACACAGGCCTCAGCACTCCAGAACATAAAACCATGCTCCTTTCTTCGGTCATTTCTGGTTCCCCCCCATGCCCTAAGCCCTTGACACTAGCCACTCTTCACCCCAAGGACACCTGCTGGAGGATGATCATGATGAGCCTGTTTGGAACTGCAGGCCTCTGGCAGCTGCTGGGACGCGACAGGCATTGTTCTACAAAAGAGAAATAAATAGAAAAGATGACACACACACACACCTGCTCTCCCCCATACACCCTGGGTTCCAGCCCTTAAAACAAAAAATGCACTACCCAGGGAGTCAATTCTGCTACTGTGGGTTGCCAAGGTTGTAAATCTTTACACCAGCAGAAAACCTGATGGCTTCGAACTGCTGACCTGGAGACTAGCAGCTCAACGTATAACCCACAGGGCCACCAGGGATCCTTCTAGCTCTTGCGTAAAAGCTCCTGAGTAGAGCTCCTGTAAGTGCGCAAGCTTTAGTTTCAAGCTTTAGTTTCCGGACAGTTGATCCCAGCTCACGTTAAAAAAAAAAAAAAAAAGACTGCCTTTACAACCCGGAACAGTAATCCAAGAGCCACTGCACCTGCGCGGAACCAGCGACCAATGGGAGAACGGTGCAGGAGGGGGAAGCGGGTGGTGATTGGTCAGAACCTTTAATGGAATCTGGGCAACTTTGCTACCCTGGAAGGGCTCTTGCAGACAATCTCCTGGAGGCCAATCAAAGCTGAGGGCGGAACGTGACCCTACCCTACTCATCTCGGAACCAATCACCCCTCGGTGACCTTCCAGCCGGCACTGGATGTTGATTTGAATCTGTAGATTGGTCCGGGGCGGGTGGCTGAACCAGAGAAAGGATGTTGGAAAAGGCAGTTGGGAGAGTTGAAGGCTTTGTGCTCGCTTCGGCAGCACAGACACTAAAAATTGGAACGATTCGGACAGTTGAAGGCCTTGCCCTAGAGTGGGGCCTGTCCGGACAGCGCCATTCCCCCCTATGTCTGTGGTTGGTGCCGATCCTTCTGCGAACTGAAGCCCTCGTGCCCCCCTTCCCTACACTGGTTGCTTCTTTCTCGCAGGACCCCTCCCAGGTGGTACCTCCCAGAGGGGACCGTTCCATCTCGGCTTCGTGTAAGGATAAGGACTGCTGCTCCAGCCTTAATCCTTCATCCGCACTTAGCACGCTCCCTTTGTGTGTGGCACCTGGAAAGGGCTGTTTCCTGTCTGGAGTATCATTCATTCTTCAGTTCACCTCAACACAGCTAAATACCATCTTCCATGGCGTCCCTCATCCCGCCCGCCCCTCCCTCCATGTTCCCAAATAGTCCATCCCAGCCCCAGCCCCTGAACCTTTTCTGGCAAGCCATTTCCAAGGATTCCAACCCAACCCCTAGAGTGATGAAGATTTCCGCGAGACAGGCAGGCAGTCATTCACTTACCCAAAAAACCAAATTCACTGCCATTGAGTTAAAGCCGATTCAGAGTGACTAACTGTGTGTGTGTGTAACCCACACCACCGATGGAAGTATGGATTTAGGTGGCCGTATTCACAAAACGAAAAGGTGATGGCGTGTGGCTTTCTTTTTTTGTTGTTTGTTTTTTTTTTGGCGTCCCTGGGTGGGCTCGGGCGTGTGGCTTTCTAGTTCCCAGGTCTTCCCAGTACGGAGAACTGTGCCTGGCACACAAGTGCTCACAAGGAAGTCTGTCCAATGAATGACAACTGTGAGGCAACAATTCCACAAAGAAACAGTCCTGCACATGCACCGGAAACCCAAGCACCCAGTGCCTTGGAGTCCATTCTGACTCACAGAGACCCTGTATCAGGTTTTGGAGACAGTGCATCTCTATGGGAACAGACAGACAGCTGCTTCCTTCTCCCACAGAGCTGTCGGCCTTGTGGTTGGCAGCCCAGTGTTTAAGAGACAGCACCATCGGGGTCCTCTGTGCACAAGAAAGGTTGGAGCACACAACTGGGAGGAAAAGGGTAAATGAATAATGGTGATCCTTATTATGCGCTGGTGGTGTAGTGGTTAGGTGTTGGACTGCCATCTACATGGTCGGGAGTTCAAAACCACCAGCAGCTTTGCGGGAGAAGGACTGGGCTTTCTACTCCCGTAAACAGTTTCAGTCTCAGAAACCCACAGGGTGCCTATGAGTCAGCACTGACTCGATGGCAGTGAGCTTTGCATTTATGCCCTGGCTCTGAAAGAGCTTGAGATCTCACCACTGGAAATATACCCCAATGGCTTGGAGACTTCACGTCTTTGGGCACAGGACACAAAAAAGCACATGGGCTACAGAATCCAAAACGGCGCAAGGATCTCACACTGTGGACGCGGCACAAAAGCTCAGCAACCTCACACCCTGAAAAGTCCACCACAAAACTGCCTGGAAACCTCGCCCATTGGCTAATACCCCAGAGAATTACATGGTGACATATAAGTGCTCAATTATTTCAGAGACCTCATACTCCAAGCATACATTACAAAACACCCCTGAACCTTCCCTCTAGAGACAGAAATCCCCAAGCAGCTCGCATGCCTCATACGTTGGACACAAACTCCCAAACAGCTACCCTGGGGTTTGTTTGTAGTGTGGTGTCAAGTCAATTTTCACGCAAGGCGGTTGAAGAAATGGATGGCATGGGGGCCACATCTGTCCTCCGCCTCCAATAGTGATAAGGAGAATCCACCGCCAAATCAGCCCAAGGCTGATTGCCACATGGCAGGGGTCAGATATGCCTCCAGCCTTCTTTTTTTTTTTTTAAGCGTTTTATTAGGGGCTCATACAACTCTATCACAATCCATTGTGTAAAGCACATTTGTACATTCATTGCCCTCATCATTCTCAAAACATTTCCTCTCCACTTAAGCCCCTGGCATCAGCTCATTTTTC